AAAAAAAAAAAAAAAAAAAAAAAAAAAAAAACACATCATAGTAAAATTAATACCTTCTCCGCTTCGCATCGAAGCTAAAAAAAATTTAACTTAGCTAGTTAAATGTATAGTTGTTAACTTTTAACTGTTGATTTATCGAAATGTTCATACTTAACTTACCTTCTTAATTATTTCGATTAACTTGTCCACCCTTGCTATTTAGAGTAATAATTGATTAATAGAGTGGCTATAGCCTCTCTTGGCTCGCTACTAGCTTGGCTACATTACTCTTGGTTAAATTTTTACGAATATTAAAAAATTATCTTTTTATTAATTTTCCAGTATTCCACGATATTGCCGTCCGAATTTAAAGACTCGAAATCTTAGATTACAACAGATTAGAATAAAAGATATTTGAGAAGTATTCTGAAACTTTTAACCATGAGATTTTCTGTTACACTCTTAGATCGCAAAAATATATTGTGCCAATTTTTTGTATACTTAGATCACTTACATATTTTGACTATTTTTTGTAGTTATTGTACTTATTTATCTAAGTAGGAGTAAATCCTGTCGTAGCTCCCAGAAGTTGTAAGAATTACCTGTAAGTTTATACAATATATTTTTAAGGGTTGAAGAAATTAAGTTAGATACCCCAAATATTTTGTTTAAATTGCCACCTACGTTTATCTCTATTCAGTTGGAATTATATTTAGACTTTTTTGCGTTTCGAATAAATTTAATTTACTCTTGAAGTTAAGTTGAAAATAACTTAATTTAAATAGATTAATCCAAGAGAATAGGATCTTTTTACGTATTACGGTATATTTATAAAATTACTTAATTACATTATTATCTTAGGTATGGATTCAAAATTTGTAATATCAGACGACATTTAAACATGAGTGTACCATTTTAAACAGACCTATTATACATATGTCTATTAATTTCTATATGGTACTTAATATAATTTAAGAGGTTCAAATCATTTAGATAGAATCTCAAGTATATTTCTTAGTTAGACCCACTCAGAAGGATTAAAGAAAGCCGCGTCTTTGCCAATATGTTAAGAGAATTTTTAAAGTTGTAAGTAAACCTTGTATTTTATATTACTTGCATTATACTTATCACTAATTTGCAGATTACTTAAATTAGGAACTTAATACACTTGATTTATTTTTCAGAATTGTATAAAAAAATAAAATAATTAAGATAATTCAATACTTTAGCTTATTTATTTAATAGTCAATGAAGGTCGAAGATAAGTGAATAGTTTTATAAATTTTATTTAATAACTAATAAATTAATTAATTTTTAATAACAAAAACAAAAATTGTATCAATAGGTAAAAGGTTCTCTTCCAAAAAAAATGTAATTTTATTAGAAAACCTTTAAATATTATATTGTATCAGTAAACTTATATATTGATCAGTCGACTTCAGTTCTCATTTTAAAATTTATTGTCTAACTGTTCAGTCTTAGTACTCGGTCGTCGACTTTTAACCTTATATCATAAGATTGTTACTTTATTCTTTATGTCTTTGCCAACCTTGTATTCTCTCTTACTTAGCTCAAGTACTTACACCTAGTTTGCACCCTGTATTTGGTTACATCTTTTTCTTGGTACGCTTAATATTTGTGTCTTGTTCTTCGTCTGTCCCTTATAGCTTAGTATTTCTCTCTTATCCTTCTTATAACAACAATCTTCAACACTTTCAAGAATACCGAAGTGTCGCCGAGCATACTTATTATGATTACCAACATTACATGTACTTGACGCATATTGCCAACACTTATTTTTGTCTAACAGCAATCAATAAACTCATAATATTTTAAGAATATGTGTACGAGAATATTTTTATTATAAGAACATATTGTTCTATGAATACAATCAAAACCTACCCATCTCTAAAAATTATACTTAAAAATGCAAATTTCATCCTTTACTTTCGTTAAAGTAAAATTCAGAGTTTATTATCGTTGTATTTATATTAAATCATGTAATTTTTCATAGATAAAGTAAACTGACAGTTCAATATCAAAATGGCAAAAATTACAAATTTTGAATTACGTCTTTAAAGTACTGTTAATGCATACGAAATATGTTCGTGCTACTTTTATTTTGAATCTGTTGTTTACAATTTAACACTATTTATAATTAGAAGGTACAAATGTTAAAATAACAACTGCCTAAAGGGTGACATTGATGCCATCTACCTCCGATAGAAAATTTTAAATAAATGTTATTATAAAATATAACAATATAACATAACATTTCTGATTGTGACTATTATTTTATTTAAAGCTAAAATAATCATATATAAAATTTAGTGCAACTATATTTAGTAATTTTTTTTTCCACAATAAACAAAATTTTACTTATTTAAAAAATTTAAATTTATTTAAATAAAAATAAATGTAATATTACATACTTGAATCAAATTATTTCCTTAAATTTGAAAACGCATGAAAATAATTGTAAATATTTTTTGCAATTGCGATCATTTGTTTGCGAAACATAAAAGTCTTATAAGTGCACTTCTAGTATTTTTTAAGGAACTATATTTGAAATTGAAAATTAATGGTAAATATATCAAGTGGCCGTGGTATGATTCATATCCTATTTTCATATGATTGATAAGTACGCAAGTAACTATTTTATTTGATGTTTATTTTATTTTACAAAAACAGTGCACTTCAAAAAAAATTTACATTATAATAACTACTTATTCTAAAACATAGGACATTTTTAATCAATTTATTTTCAAATAGATCGGAATCGAATATATTAAAAAAAAATTATTTAGAATTTATACATGATAAAAATAGTAATCTGTTTACTTAGTTTGATTTTAGTAATATAATTATCAAATTATTCGGTATAGATTTTTAACATTTATAAAAAAAATTGATCTGGGCCCGCCTGAATTTACTATACCAAAGTAGCAAAAACATTTTTTTATATTGTCTATTATGTATCTATTAACATGAAAGATTTATAATTTTACTTTTTATGTATTTAGAATAAGTAATAAAAAGGTTACAATAACATGTAAGTCAAAGTTCTTTACACTGACAAAAAAGCCATAAACATATAAAAAATATTTTTTTTAATCCATCATATTTTCTTTGACAAAAAAATTTTATATATATTAGATTTTTTGCCTTTTGATGAGTAAAAACAATAACATTTTGATTTACTTAAAACGTTTTTTATAGTACGAATTTTATTATACTACTTAAAAATAATATTTACATATTTATTAAATGTGTATAAAATATTTTATTTCCGTTATTTATTAATTTATGAAATTACTACTAAATTTAGTAATCTTTTTATTGTTTTCAATTAAAAATGGGATATGCTTCTTGGGTTGTGTTTCTTTTAATTCATTATAATGCCCCAAGCAAAGTACCTAGCTGTCATTAGGGCATTAGAGCAATAATATATTTTTCGACCTATTTAATATATTTTTAAACAAAATATATTACATAAAAATAAATGTTTCCATAATTTTATTAAAAATTAATTAATTTAATATAAATAACTCATGCATAATGGATTAAAATTGATAAATTAATTTTACAGTACCATACTACTAATACAGATATATATATACAGGGCGATTTTCTTATCATAACCCACTCAATTACTTACAGAATAATAATAATTACAATAAACATTTTTTTTTTTATTATCCTTAGTTACACATTATTCTTGAATTATTAACTATGTAATACTTTTTAAGTTCATCCCTTATGCCTGGTAAGGGTGTCAACTTTGTTTTTTTAAATGGTAACACATATTTTTAATTTAATAAAATGTTTGAGTTTTTAATTCAATAGTAAATGGCATTTGAATTTTTAATAATACAGGTAGCTAATTGATTTTTTATGACATCGATATTAGCAGGTACACAGCATTGTTATTATCAATGATAGTAAGGTACATTGTTGTGAGTTTATAAATACACTAACTGACAATAAAGTATTACATAGTTAATAATTCAAGAATAATGTGTAACTAAAGATAGTAATAAAAAAAAATGTTTAAATTATTATTATTCTATAAGTAATTGAGTGGGTTATGATAAAAAAATCACCCTGTATATATACTTAAGACCACAGTGCTCAATTACTAAATCATTATAAATAGTTAAAGTGATTTTAAATATGTACAAATATTTATTTAGTTTTTAAATTTTTATGGGGAAGCATCATAGTTAGGATCAGTATAGATGATATTTGACATTAATTAACATCACTATTATAATATACAAAACATTTTCAATAATAATAATTATTATTATTATAATCAACTCAATTATTGAGTTGAAAAATTTTTTTTTACATGCGTGAGTGGTCTCTTTCAAACCCTTTTTGTACTTAGGTTTTCATTGAATTTTCATAAAAATCATACCAAAAGAAAGTCTATTATCTCTAGTATATCCTCATAATATTTCATTATGATCAGTAATTTTTTTAAAAGTTATAGCAGTTTTTAAATGCAAACAAAATATCAAATATGTTATTTAATACAAAAAAATGATATTTTTTAAATTTCTAAAATGAAGGGTTTTTTTCCAATTTTCAGCAATAAAAGATTTAACTAGATTATAATCGAGTTCTTTTGACACATAAGCCAATAACGTCTAGTGAGAGCTAAGAATTTTCATGTACAAACAAAAAAAATGTACGTCGGGATAAAATCAATACTTTGTCAGCTTAGTAACAAAACTAAATGTTATTGAAATTTATAATTTTTTTTTAATTTATTGTTTAAAATATATACATTTATATTTTAAAAAATAATAAGTATTTTTTAGTAACAAATATTTAAAATTTTAATTTAGTTTTTGTATATTTGAAAAAGTTTAAATTGAGCGTGTTACATAGAGTTCAATATTAGATGTACCATCATGCCCCAAATTCCCCTACTCTATATAAAAAAGTAACAACTACATGTTGACTACAAAGAAATTTCTCTCAGTCATAAAACAACATAAGATTAAAAACATATTGCTTGTTTTAATAAGTATAGTTTACTGTATCCATATAATACCATTCACTTTGAATATTATGTAAATAAACTTTGACTGATTCTCCAAGATTATTAATAATGAATAAAAGTTGATCAACATATTATATGAGTCTTTATAGTTCAATTAATAATCTCACATCCTGAAAAACATACACTGTTAATTTAATGATATTTATAAATTTATTTCACCATACAAACAAATCTTTGATATTTCAATAAAGATAGAATGTTTTATAACTTGACTTAAAAATTGTAAAAAAGTAATAATAAAATGTATGGTACTAGCTAAAATATCTTATCAAGGAATAAATATTATACAAATTTTATTATAAAACAACAGTTTAAAAATAAAATAATTCAAATATAAAATAACATCTAATATAAAGATTACTACATCAATATCACAGATTATTATTATAATCATCCATAGAGTACAACCATCTATACAGCCAAGGATATTTATTAGCATCCAATTTTGTCCCTTTTAAAACATCATATACTAGTAAATCATCATTAGTAGGACAATTCCTAAAAAAAATAAAATCAAACAATTTTATCAGTAAATTTAAGAAATTAATAGCACTGAATATGAATATCACAGAGCTATTTATATAATATTTTGATAACGTATTATGTGAGAAAAAAAATTTTAATTGAACAAAAAAATAATACATTTTTTAATATTATTTGATATTACCTGGAAAATAGTAGGTAAGAAAAATTTTGTTCAGCATTAAGAAACATTTCATCATCTGAAGATTCATTTTGAGGACTTGATGGTGCACTAATATAAATTTCATCATCTGAACTATGTTCTAAAATTCATTAAAAAGGTTTTATTAAAAGTTGATTTGTAAGAGTTAACATATGAATATGTTAAAGCATTTGTGGATTGTTGTATTGCTTGAAATGTTTACGAGTGTGTCCACGTTCCAGTTATGAGCTGATGTTTCAGACTCGTTGAAGAGTCCATCTTCAAAGCGATAGTGACAGGCTAGTGGTTGTAATTATACTGACTAGTTATATGACTTATTACAATATAGTTACATTCATAAACATTTCAAGCAAGAAGTTCACTTCATAATGCATTAAAATATTTTTAAAACAATGAAAATAAAACATTTATTATAAAAAAATCCATTAAAAAAAAATTAATATAATATTAATATAGAGTAAAAAATTATTTTTAACATTTAATTTCCAAAAACATAAAGTGAGGTAAAATAAATTTTTAATTATGGGAAATTGTGATACTATTATATAGAAAATTTTTAAATTAACTAATTCATTGCAATTTTACAAATGTTTATTTATCAAAAAAGTATATTAACTACATATCTTCAAGTGAGATGATATGTAGTTTAGATTCTTAAAATATTGTTTTTTCCTAAATTAACTACAGTCAATACATAAAATTAATACTGAAAATATATTACAATTGTTTTCACAAGTATCTCAAATTATTATGGTTACAATTTATTTCTGTGTTCAAATTTTTTATTTATTGAATATTCATATGTGTCAATGAAGCAAATCATACCTCCATATATAAAATTATTAATAATATATCTTATATTTCTATAAATCAAATAAGCTTATTTAATTAAAAACAATTTACCTTCAGTAACTTTTATTTTAGAAGAATCATTTTTATCTTCATCATCTAAAAAATAAAAATGATGGAATATTATAAAAAAAATTAAATATTCAAATTTTTTTAGTAATGTATATCTTATATTGTTTTTAAAAAGATATTTTTCATTAGAGTAATCTGTTTAACTCACTCAGTGCAAAAGAGTACCAAAAAAACAATATATAATCAATTAAGCCTCTTGAGATATTTTTATATATTGGTGGAGCTTGGGAAAAACTTACCAAGAAAAAAATTTGTATAACTTAGTTAATGGCATACATGGTTCAAAAAAATTATATATCTGTATTGGTTAAACAATATAAGTCATGCAGCAACTATATCATATAATATTGTAGCCGTCAAATCATTTTAGCAATAAATCCTTATTAAATTTACTGAATTAATTGGATTATTTAAAGTTTTTTGAATATATAAGAAAAAACTCATTTTTTCAAACTTTTGACTTTTTAAACAAATTTTACATTGTTTAAACAACCAGATTTCATAAAAAAAAAATTTCTAATTTTTATTTTGAGTATTTGAGTTTGTTATGGGAATAGAATTTACTACATTTTACCACTACAATACAAATTAATTAATATTCTAACACTATATAAATTTTTTTTTTCAATATAGTGAGAAAAAACAGTATAAAAAAAATTCAAACAAATAATAATAATCTATATTATATCACATAGATTTAAGTTATAAAAAATGTATAATAATATTAAAAAATGTGTGCAAAAATTTTTATTTTAAATTGGAAACAATAGTAAAAAATGTTTACATATCACTTATTAAACATTTAGAAATTTTTTATTCTTCTGATTTTTGCACTTACATAAATTAAACATATTGAATTTTGAGCTAGGAAAATTATATTAATTTAATTAAACAGTTTCTGATACAGATTTTAAAAAATTATAAAGTAATTAATTATTATAATTGTATTTATTATTTTTTTTTTTCGAGTTTCCTCTAAACACAGTGAAATATGCATTATTTATTTACACATATTTTATAAAGTAAACTAAAATATCAGTATAAATAAAATAGTAAATTATTGGCTGTTTTAAATACAACATTTTTATGATTGTTACGTTTTTTAATTCATACAACAAGTCTAATAAGAATACAAAGACATAAAAATAAAAATAAAAAATATCCACTTTTTTATATTTATTACATTAGTTAAATTTTTTTTTTACCTGTAAAAAGTTGTTTAGGTTTCAGCCTAGATTTCAGTTCTATACTACATGAGCATGGATTAATAGTAAAAAAAATTTTTTTACAATCTTCTTCGCTATCTGTTGATTGTGCACAATTTGAAGAATTAATATTATTATAAATAACAGTCATTAAGTTTGTTAAACATGCTACAGTATTTTCACTTCTAGTTTTAATTTTTTCAAAACTCCTAAAAGGATTATATTATAAACTACAATATTAAACATGAAACAAATTATATTATAAATAGTCTTAATTCGTATGAATTTTCATATATTTTTTGAAAGTTCAGGTATAGTTTGATAAGAGTAAAAAAAAAAGTCGAAGACTCAAAACTATAATCATAAATATAAAATAATTAGTAAATTATTTACTTACAAAAAATATTTTTGTAGTAAAATAAGCACAGAATGGAAATGTAAACTGAATTCCGAATTACTTTTTAGTATTTGACATAAATTCATAGCTACTCTTCCATGAATTTTACCCTGTATGTTTTGATCAAACCGGGTATCTGAATAGAAACTGTCTTCTAAAACTAATAAATGTCTTACTTCATGACATAAACGGTTTGCCATACTTTCAATATTATGTTTATTGACATATTCAGATATTATAAACTTTGATAAACGCTCACTAAGCACCTAAAAAGAAAACATATTAATATTGAAATAGTTATCCTACAATTTCTCCTTTTTAAACCTTTAACTAGACTAACCTTACAGGATTTGACTAGACAAGTATAAGATACAAGTGTTGATCTTCTAGGACTTTTTCCTTTTTGATTACTTCCTATTCTCATTGACTCTAACGCCTTACACAATTCACCCATAGGACTCAAAAGTACAGTAGATTCAATTGCAGTCAATTTTTCTGATAATTCCAATTCTTTTGAACTAAATCTCTCTCCTAAATATTTTTCAAGAAGTTGAAGACCTCTTTCTGTTCTAAGATCAACTATTCGGTCTAAAAATGACCAATACTCTGCCCATCCAATATTTTTTATTTCTGCAAGTTCTCTACATAACAAAAAAATTTAGCTGAAGTAATTAAATAATTCAAGTTATTTAAATACCTTCCAGCTTTTTCAAAACTTTTCTCTTGCAATTCCCGTAATCTTGGACTATTACGCTTTTTTACAGGTGATGGTGATAACAATGATTTTCGCACTGGAGATTTCCAATCTTTCCAGAATTGTTGTGCTTCTACTTCATTCATTGGCCCTGCAATTGCTTTTATTTCAAGTTTAGGACTTAATTTTTTAAAATCAACATTTTCAAACTAAAAAAATATAGTTAAAAAGTAAATTTTATTGTTTATAATTTTAATTATACATAGTTTTAGGCACAAAAATACTTGGGTTATTGATATTATTGGTGATGATTTAGGTGAAAATGGTTTTCCTATGGTGGGTTGAATGCAGTTATCATCCGATTTCCACATAGGAACAAAAAAAACATCTTCTAACAAATTTAAAATCTCGTTGTAAAATTGATAATTTCCTCTTGAACAAATTACCTAAACAATTATAAAGCACTAATACATTTGAAGGGTTTTATAAAAAAAACAACATACATCTTTTGGAGTCTGGCCATATTTGTTTTTTGATGAAAGTGAACACTTATCATAAGACACAAGTTCTTTAACAACTTCAATATGACCAAATTTAGATGCAATGTGAAGAGGTGTATCATTAGATGCTTTATCCGGTGTATTTAAATATAAATCTGCAATAATTTCACTGCGAGATAAATAAGACTGTTCAATTCCATACAGTAATTTTATAAAATCTTGACTAGTAATACATTCCATTATAAAATGTATTATGGCTGCTTGATTGTATCGAGCAGCAACATGTATTGGATTATATCTACACCCTTCCTATTTAGAAATAAAATAAATAAAAAATTAATAACCACTGTTATTATATATAATATTATAACATTATTATAATATTATAATATTATAGATTACCTGAATAATTGAAGGTGTATCACCACTACTAACAAGGAACTTTGGGTTAGAATTTACAGCTTGTTTTACTTTGTCTACATCCCCATTTTCAATAAGACGTCTGAATGCAACAAGTTCTTCTGATTTTAGTGATTTAAAACCTAAACTTGTGGGAATAGCAGGAACATATATTTTTTCAGACAGTTTAATAGGTGATTCTTGTCCAAATATACTAAAATGTTCAGCTTCAGAGGCAGACCTGAATACTTTAAATCGAGCAGCCTTATTAGACTTAACAGCAGATAAGGTTTCTTGAAGTTTAGAAAACACTTTAGGAGTACCTAGAAACACTTAAAATATTTAAAAATTAGCAAAATAAATTATTTTATTTACAAACCACTTTCATCTTTGTCAGTTTCAACAAACACTCCATAAAATGACCCATCTTTTGTTATATCTGTTTGATTGCAATTAGGAGATTGGTAATTTGTTGAATCATCATTACTAATCGAATCCATAGAAATAATATATTATTATTAATATGAAACTTTTAAGGTCTAACTAGCGATAACGCTTCCTTAACTTAAGTATACGACATGGAGTTCAAATTGTGTAATATAAAAAAATATATGTTAAAAAAACTTAACAAATTACATCCAAATGAAAAATGGAAAGTAGAATTAAATTTGTTATGACAAAAAATCAAATAAAAAAACTTACTCATAATATTCGTTTTACGCCGTTAGATAAGACATGTTTAAAATCATGATGATCAATACGGCACTGCCAACAGTACAATCAAATTTATCAGTGAAACTTATGATACAGTTTAATCTACTACCGTAAATTAGTCATAATTATATAAATTTTATTTAATAATTTTATGTGTCAGTCTAATTTTTATTTTACTATTATAAACGATTGAAAAATAAATCATAAGAGAGCTAATGTTTTTTAATATTTATTTTATCTTCTAAATTTTAAGTCGCATTTAATGTGAAACACCTTTTATTTATAAAAAAAAAATTTTGATGTCTTTTTAATTTAGAGAAAAAATGCGCTATTTTATGAAACGTACTTTTTTTCACGACGATAATAATAGGGACGCTTAAAATGCAAAGTCCTCCTAAAATTAAAAAATAGATGACAACAATTTTCAACAAATCTATTTTTTTTATTAGATTATATTGTTTTTATTAAAAAATTTATAAATTATTGGAATTCAGCGAGGAACCTTTTTTTTTAAGTGGCTAATTTCCACTATAATACTTAATAATATTAAGTAAAAACATTTTGAAATTTTCAATTTTAACTTTAGCTATACTATAATTTGAATTAATCAATTTTTTGAACAATAATAATATTTATGTCAAAATTAGGTGACTGCAGATGATATTTTTTAATTTTTTTTAAAATGAAAAGTTTTTATTTTCTATAGGTAGTCTACGAAAATTTTTTAAACTATTTTATAATTAATCGCAATAATCAACAAATATTTTACTAAATAAAATTGTCAATATTTTTAATACTAGTAAATTACATTAAAAAAAACAATTCTGAAGTATTTTTTGTTTTTAAAACTAAAATTATGAGTCTAAAACTTATGATTTATGAACTTAGAACTCAAATTTCAACTATTAATTGATCTAACCTAACATATCTTTAATAATAATTACCCTCCCTTTACTAATGTTTTTAAAAAGCTTAGTTTTAGTTTCATATAAGTATGGCAATTATGGATCATTCTTGTCATTAATAATAACATATTTCATGATGGTGGCTATAGTGAAAAATCTACAAAATTGTTTTGGCTCATCATTTCAGTATAGAAAATTAATATTGCTGTCTTTGGAGGACATGGCCTTTTGGCTACGCCACTACATATCACATTTATCCAAGCTTTTATTTCAAACTTTATATTTACTTACATTTATCCCATATTAACAAATATTGTATGTACACAAGTTCAGCATAGTGAGTATGAATGGAGATGTACAATAGCCACAACAGTAGCTTCAAATGTTTCACATTGAAAAAAAATCCTCATGCTATCCTAAAATGATTAACCTAAAAGTAATTAATTATTTTTTTTATGATATTTATTTATCTACTGCTTATAAATGTTACACATATTTATGATCAGTCAATAAAAATTTTACATATGATAAACTATTAAAATTATTGAATTAATTAGTATCATAGGTTTTACCTAAAAAACAAAATGTCAAATGATTTAGATTAGTTAAATTCTTACCATTTTTTAAGAATACTAATTTTGTTATCTTGCAATAAATTAATTTGTTGAACTTGATATCATTTATCATTGTTTCGAGAATTTGTCTCCCGGATTTCTTAAAGAGAAAGTGACATAGTCAAAAAAATGACATCCATCCAATATTTTACGTTTAAAACAAATATTGCTGTCAATAAGGACATGGTTTTTGTTACTTCCCTGGCTACGCCAATTATTTAGATTCTAATAATTATTATTATTAGAAAATAATAATAATATATCAAAAAAATTATTTCGAACTTTTTTAAAACGAAAAATTAGTTTTTTGTAATCAAATATATTGTTTTATACTGTTTGTAAAGATTTTAAAATAATTTTATACAAAATAATATTTGATGATTAGTTGTTTCTCAAATTGATTCAATTGTTATATAATCATAAAAGTCCTAATATATTTTTTTTTATAAAATACGAATTACATACCTGAAAAACAAAATATGGTATATTTACAGCATTAGTTTTTATATTTTTATATAATAAACGTTTTTTTTTTTATTATTAAATATTGTTAAAATATTAAACTATTTTATATAATTTATAAAATCTTTATACATTCTTGATGAGATTTTTTTTGTGTTCTGAGAGTAATCCATACGAAATTTCAAAAAAATTTTTTACAAATAGAGTGATCTATCACTAACTAAATAATTTCATCTAAACTAAAAACAATTTTGAAAAAAAGTTTTGGTAAAATTACATCTATGAGTAACAAAATAACAACTACCAGAGCTAGTCAATACCACGATACTATAATAACGATGAGTTTTATGTTTCAAATAACTATTGCTACAAACTTCAATTTATAAGAGTACATATTCTATGATGAGTGATGAAGTTTTTTTGTGGCTTAATTACAACAAGTAGTAACAATGTGTATTGTTACTACTTTTTTTTATCATTATAAAGTTAAAAATTGATCAAAAATAGTCGACCAGATTCATTTCATATGCCCTTAAAAATTATCCTTAGGTTTATCCCTGCTTGATGACTTGTTTTGACTGTTTAGTGATATTTTTACAATATCAAAAATTTCAGTTGAAAAACTGGTATTCTAATCTTTATTGAAATCTACCGAATCTACGTATTTGTATTCAGACATAAATTTGTGAAGAAACAAAGAAGTTCTTCTATTTAATCTACAAACATTTTTTTTGTTTGAGCCACTAAATTTTATCTATATTACATTATTATTTTTAAAAGAGTTGTATGATCCTAAAAACTACCTCTGTAAGTTTATTCATAAATATTTTATTTAATGAATTTAAGTAAAATACTGAAGTATTTTATTGTCTTAGATGTAATTTATAACCATTTTTATTTAACATATTTTTATAAAAGTGGTAGCACTGTAAGTGCAGCTGCGCCTGACATTAGCCGACCCGTTATGTTTTTGTTTCTGATTTTTTATCATTTACAGTCCGACAGTGTTGTTTGCGTCGTGCTAGTGTGTCTCATTGTGTGTATTTCATTCATGAGTGATTATTTTTTGAAGTTTATTCGATTGATTTCATACTTTAAATTTTAACTATAGCTTCTCATTTAGTAACGTGAATTTTATTTATGTAATACGTATTTAAGTGTTTTTATTTTGTGCGTATTTATCTTATAACGTGTTCTTGCAAGTACGTATGGGATAGTTACAAGTATTTTACACTGCACCCAAGTTGAATGTTACTATTTTTGAAATATAAAATAAGGTAATTAGATAAAATTATTTAATATTAGGAATATTTACACACAGTAACTGAATTTCATATCCCAATAAAGTAGTTTAACGATGATAGATAATAAATTACTAGAATCTTTTATTTGCTAAAAAAAAATAAAAAATACTAATGTTATTTACACAAAATTTTAATAGAGATTAATTAATTGAATTTCGTCATTGGATTTTTCAAGGATAATTTAACTAAAGTATAAGTTTCTATTTTTTAATGTCAATTAACTTATGGAACCCAATATTAATACTTAACAACAATATCTGTTAATTTGGTGAAGTTAAATTATGCTAAAATTTAATCGTTCACAAGCATGTAATGTTTTTTTTAATATTTCGGATGTTTCTTGTATATATATTTTTTAAATAATGACAATTTTTAAATATTTGGCTACAGTATATATTAGAATTTTCAAATTAGCGTATTAGATTTAATCTCATTTAAATAAACTTTGTTGCGTTATCTAAATTTTAAATAAGTATAAGTTTAATTATTTTAAATATATATATATATATATAAATGTATAGCAGTATTTCAATAGTCAATTGATTTTTTATTTACATAAATTATTATAAAATTTTAACAACAAATATGGAGCACTTCAAAATTTCTTAGGATTTATTCTTCTTAACATTTTTCGTCTGGAATTTCGTTGATACATTGCCAACATTTATAATGATGGAAAAATAGACACTATCTATATAAATAATCCTAACTGCTTGCAATTAATTTCTTACAAAATGCCTAAAACTCAACAGTGTCGTAAAAGTTATTAACGTAAGCTAAATATAAAATACATACCTATACATATCCTTTTAATATTCTTACTTCATTTTACAGTAGACATTTACAAATCGTCTACCTACTTGTTAATAATAGATAAATTCCAAAATGGACTCTATGGGTTAAAAAGTTAAGAGTCACATTTTCTCTGTCCATTTGTGTGTATGTCTTAAGATTCATTTAATCTTGGTTAGGTTTTCCAAATTTTTTTTACGGAATATTGTCGTGGTATGTGAATAATAATTTTTCTTTGAATTATCGTAGATGTACCTGCTAAGAGTTTTTTTATTAAGGTTTTCTGCCGTATAATTCATGCTAAATATTAGGTATGATATATTTACGCTATAAAGGTAGTCATTTTATGATCATGTGGGTTTTGAACAAAATCTACCTGTAAAATGTCGAGTTAAAATATAATACTTACCAACTACTTATGTACATGTATTAACATTGTAAGAAATAATTTGTCAACATTTAATAACAAACTATATTTTTCAAAAATAAATGGAAATTTACAATAATTTAAACATAGAAAAACATTTTATATTTTATTAATTTAATCATTTCTGGTAAATGTTGTTAGAATTGATACAATTGTTAAAAACATTAAATGGTTAAATGTTGCCAATTGATTAAATATTATTAACGTTACTAACCTTGTTATTCGCTATTACTCATTTACTTATTAAAATGAAAATAATCATAATTTTAGTGATGTAAGATACATCTATACTCAATGTAAAGCCATATTTTCTACGATTTTTTTCTCAATAAGTGATTAACGAAATTACATAGTGTATCTAATGTTTCGTTGCTTTTGTAGAATGTCTCTTAAAAAAAATTTAATTGTACAGTTATTTATTAATAAAATATTTGTTTATCTTATGTTTTATCTGGATATGATAGTATAGTTAATACTTGAAATTTATGATTGATTACAAAAACAATTCATTGTATTAATAATGTTTTTTGGACACGTATAAAAAAAATTGTTCTCTTAATTATTGACTAATGTGTTTTATTTAAATCGTGTGAAGAGGAAAATTCAAAATAATTTTACATATAACATATACTCTGATGTAGTTTTAACAAATTGTGCGTTATATAGTGTCAAATTATTAATAAGAAAATAATATTATTAATATTGTCATATTTATCTAAAAACTTGAACTTCAAATGACAAATAACAAATTATGTATACGCAATTATTACAGGTGTGTATAATTTTAACTAAATTATGTTGAATAATTATATTTTTTAAATAGTTTTCGACGTTGATTTAAAAATTACCTACCATAAGTTTTTAATTTACTCTGAAACAGTTTAACATTATATTGGATATTTTACTTACTATCATCACAAATCATTCATTCATATGAAGTACTTACTTAAAATCTCTATGAATGCATAAGAGCTTAACAATGTTTTATACACAGGCAGCAAAAAATAATACAAAATAAAATGATATCGTATGAGTTACTTTAATTCCATAGGAACCTTCATGCTGTGTCCCCCCGGCATAATATGATCTGGTTTCAACATCACAAACACTTGCATTGAATCATTGTCTGTGCGTTTAAAGAGATAACGCACGTCTCCAGATTTTTCCACTCTTTATTATTATTATTATTGCTTTTATGACCCACTAGTAAAAAAACGAGTGGGCTGATGCGTTTTATAACTGTATATCAAGAGAGTATGTAAAGAGTAAAGATTGTTTATGCTATCGTTTGGGTACTTACAATAATATAGATCTTAATAATCGTCATTTGCGTCTGAGAATTCTCACAAATATTTTGCTGTAGGAACAATTAGTCAGTGCATTATGATTTTCTGTTAGTAGTACAGAGAAATTACATCTAGCGGCCAATGTTCGCGCTCATGATGTTTCGGACCACGCTCGGTCTACCGTTATAAAATATTGTCATTATTATTCTCTTGTCAGAATACTATCGTGACTGTTTGGCATACAAAACTGTAAAGTTAATGTTATGTTTTCTTAAAACCTATGTATACGATCGTTTATTGGTACTACAAAGAAATGGAATTATTGTAAAGCACATTGGTATTGATTAATTTAGGAAATCATTGTGCTGACTATAATATTTATTAACATTTTTATCATGACATAATTGAGTATTATAAAATTTTTTTTTTATAAAATAATGAATCGTGAAAATTAAAATTAATGTATAGAAATGCCGTTACATTCGAATATCTAACATTTAATAATATATGTTACATGTATAATATAACAGTAAGTTTTTGTAACGTTGTATTTTTATAAATAAAAACCGTATATTTGCATATACATATCGGTAATTTTTGTTGTTACCATTAAATTTGTTATTTTATTTATTCAAACCATATATTTATCATAAAATACGGTCAATGAAAAATGTTTATCCACAAATTGTGAAATAAATTTTATCAATTCTTTTGAACATTTGTACTATTTAAAATACAATGTCGTGCGAGTGTGATGTTTAGTAGTTTCGCGGGCGAAAATAATCTTTGAAGTGGTGATCGTTTGTTATAAGTGTTAATTAGTTTTATGAACTAAATATATTTATTCTTTGCTTAAAATACTGATAAGTGAATAACAACATAATGATTTTATTTTTCAATTTAATTTCAGTTTGAGAACTATGTAATAGTATGTAAGGTTTCTACAAAGTTCAATGCGATTACATTTCCGACCCGATTGAATGATGATGAATGAGGGAAAATATTTAAAAAAGTATTCTTTGAGTAAGATATTAAGTACAAGTGCATTTAAGTTGGAGGTTTTTTTAGGAGATTTTATATGCACAAAAGCCGGAAGAATGGTTTGTTGAACATCGCTAATACATCCTTCCGGTAACCGTGATCGTATCCGTTTGTCGACCCACCTCTACTATGTCTATGTAGAGGGCTGTAGGAATAGAAAAAATACATTAAGTATGTATATATATTATCCTATAGCCGTTCGACTCATTTTACAATGTTGCAGTATTGAATTGAAACTGCGCAGGCGTGACTGGTTCTCAATAAAATAAAAATTATTATTATTATTTTGAAAATGGTAAAATATACAACTTATCTATCTGAGTTACAACCGTTTGTGTGTTTTTCTTTACTCTATTGCCATGTGCTTATGTGATATATTTTATAAATTGCAACAGTTGTGTATGTGAGCTGAAGGTCGCACATGCAGACGATAGGTCTAAATTACCCCAATATTTTCATTTCACAATGAACCAAGTATGTGAATAAATTGTTGTTAAGTAATATACTGCAATGTTCAATTATTATTAACAGGGTCGAGCAATTATAAATAAAACAGATCCGGAAAAATAATTACATTGTGAACTCAAAGTCGATATAATACAAATTAAAGTCTTAATACTTTTCTATCACTATTTCTTGAAAAATTTGGTTGTATAAAAATAAAGGTAGTCGAGAGAAGCTCCTTAATAGTATTAGTATTATTCATACAATAATCACGAATAGGTGCTGAACATTATTTAAAAAAATATATGCACAGTTACACGATATTATTATTACATGGCATAGTAAATGTAGTCCGGTTACTCCTTTTACAATAGTGTCTACAAATCAGTAAAGAGTTTGTAAAGGTCACGTCATGGTCACGAGCACACTTGCAGTTTTGATCTTTCTATGGACAATTCTGGTTTCTTAAATAAATAGTTGTTAAATGGTTTCCAATTGAATTAAATTATTTGTTATTTTTGAACATCACATCTTATGTTTCAGACCATATTACTAGTAGTTGAGCTGTAGTTTCGGTGTGCTATATGTGCATTTTTGTTCATCTGTTTGTATGTTAATAATGGTTTTTGCCTGGGAGCAATGTCACGAGTTTGGCCTACTACACATTTAGTTCTTTGTTCCTTTTTTGTACTTTGCCTGTGAGTTGTAACGCATAAAAACTGTGTAGTAATCTCGATAAGTGTTTGAAACTATAAATTAAAATACTATTAGTAGCATTGTAGTAAAATTAATAGGCTTCATTGCGTGATTAATATATTTTTAACTAAACATCGATTTTAACTTATTTCAGCATATTCTATTTATTAATTTGTTATAAATTTATTATAATTATCATTTTGTAAGTTAAATATTTCATCCACGTATTTATTTGGTGTTTATTTTTAACACAAGGGTAAGTAGTTTTCATTTATTTACTTTACACTTAATTTTATTTCTCTGACTGACAGTTTTTTGTCTTGTATTGCTGAAATAATAACGATTTTGTGCAATTTCTTCTACTCTTTATTAAAACATAATGGTTTACAGTTTACACCATATTGGTAAAAATTGAGGTTGATGAGATAAAAATTGCAATTAACTTAAAAAATTTTATGGAGTTTTCTTCTTAGAAGATGTTTAGAACTGTAAAAAAACATACTTGCTCATAATTCACAGTCTATAACGCTTGCCCTTTCTAATAATGTGTCTAATGATTTGCTTCGAGAATATGTTTTAGATTGTTTGTCTATAATTTATTTACGCTTATACTTGAACTATAATACCAATACGGTTAGTTCAATGATAATATTTATCTGTTTGATAAAAATTATGTAGTACTAAAGCATGGTACTTTCATTATTATTTGAATAGGATTTTTCATCTAAAACTTGTTTTAGATGAAAAATCGACGTTTCTGTTTATTTTAACAAGACAATATTTTATTTAAATTATTGCATTGTCATTTTTTCTATAATAAATTCATAACTATGTAAAAAAGAGAAAGTGTACCCAGAATTCGGTCATTTAACCATTACTGTAATGCTAAGTACTCTATTAAAACGCTATTTTTACTATAGTATAATATCAATTATTATTATTTTTGTATTTGTAATTGAAATATCGATATGAATCATAATTATTGAGGCTGTTTAATTTTTCCTAATTATGTTGGTACATATAACTAATAAAACCCATCAAAATTTAAACAGACAAACAAAGTTTTACAAAGATATTCTAATAAATTTAATAGACTAATTTTTATTTAGTATGTTTTAATGGAAGTCGTTGTATGGAAAATATTACATGATTTTTTTTGTTATAATTGTTTTGTTCTTTATCATTTGAGTTTTTTCAAATACAGTTCTTCGTTGACTAATAGTAAATTTTGTTAACTTAAGCAAATATAATTTTTAACTGGTGTACTTTTATAAACAAATATTTTATTTACAGACTACTAATATAGTAAAATATTCTGTTTAGTTAGTTTTTTATTTTATAGGTAGGTATAATAATAGGTAACATGAAAAAATTCAAGTTAATGTTACCGGCTACTATTTTCATATTTTTCTGTGCAATTTAGTGTCATGGACCTAGTGTTGAACATTTTTAATAAATTATAAAAAATCATACTTTTTATATCTCGTGTTATGATAGTTTATAATTATAGGGAAATAACCGTTAAAATACTTAGTTTAGTAATAATTACTCATTAAACCGTGCTCTTGCGTGTAAGAATGCTAACATTTGAACATCATAATTGATAATTGAGCGATTATAAATGTTTCAACATTACTTTTACTAATTATTGATTTTATAACAATGGATGTTTAAAAAAAATCATGTTAACGGGTCTTGACTGCTTTTTATTTAAAAATATGTTATTTTGATATTGATATTTAATCATTTTGGGAGTTACTCTTTGTAATGTGAATAATAGGTTTTATGATAATTTTTTTTTTTCAATAATATATGAATCATATATTTTTTCTTTATCATTTATTTTACGTTTATAACATTTGATATATTATGTATTTATTATTATAAATTTTTTATCAATTTTATGATATTCCTATTATAATTTTCATAGCGATATTTAAACCAATCAGTGTTAGCTATATCTGTTTTATTAGGTTTCCTTTAACTGGTTATCGCTAATATAGTCATGTAATATTGTGGTACAATTGATGTCAATGTTTGGCGGCCAATGTCTATGTTTGGTATAGCTTGGTTATATTAATATTCTATATTTAATATAATACTGGCGATGTTTCACCCATAACGGTTTTTAAAAAAACATTATTCCTTTACATTGACATCATAAGATCTCTTTTCTAATTTCCCAAGAGTTTAGAAACTTTTTAAAAATATATTTTTATTAATAAAAGTATTGTTTATACAGTCAAAAAAAATATTTGGTAAAATTAATTGCGATGGTATAATTAAAATGAAGATAATTTGCAGATTTGATAGTTTCAGATATGTAAATTTATAAAATATTTTAACTACATAAAAAATAGATAAACATATTTAAATCGCCCAAAAAAAAGCTCTTAGTTAATCATCACTGCCTTAATGTCGAGCCGTCACACTTCAACTGCCAAAACGTATATGTTTCACACTATTAGGCCACAATGTGACTTTAAAAGTATATTAGTAATTATTCATCATACCATTTTACTTATTAACCAATATTGTTTAATGAATGGTAAAAATGCAACTGCTGTAACCTATGTTGTTGTAAAAACGGCAAAAGAATTTTTATACGTTTAAGATGGTATGATATTTTTTCTAAGATTAATTGCCACGTTTATACATAATAACTCCACGCTTTAATAATGCAATAATGTCAACACTATTATTCTGTATACGGTAATGCGCGTGAACTTTCTCTCGTTTGTACTTAACACATGCGATTAATCGTATTGTTCTTTACAGATTAACAATAGTGTATTTTTTATTATATTAGCGAGAGGCGAGACTGATAAGGTTAAAACGATCAACCGCTGAAAAGATTATATTCCCAGGAATGAGTAAGAATTATTGTCGTTAAAAACAAATATGTTTGTGTGTTTAGATTTTTATAACGACTGACAATTAAATTATCATGACGATTCCCTCCGTTATATTATAATTAATTATTATCCTGTGTATTGTGTATACAGGGCTCATTAAAGACATATACTTAACTAAGAGAAATGCAATAAATATTTGTTCTTTTCATATAGTCCGACTGAGGTATAACTTTTTTGTAATGCACGATTTTTTTTTTTTTTTTAATCAAGGTCATTTTACGACTGGAACTATTATTTTTTTTTTTTGTGGTTCTTTCTTATTGAACGAAGATAATAATTATTGCTAGGTTGTAAATCACCAAATCGCATTACAACAAACAAGCTAACTATAAATATTTTTGAGTAAACCACATCGAGTCTTAGTTTCAACCGGTTATATTTAATATACACTCGAGGTTCATTACAAATTTTTATATTTGTGTGTGCATATTATATTGTAGTACTAATAAGTATACTGTTTTATCATTAGGGCCAATTCTCAAGTTGTTAAAATGTAGGTCGTATTCAGTTCTCGTATTTAAATAAGTTGGTTTTCAAGTAACAAAAATTTTAAAAATCCAAGTTTTTATTTTGCAAGCCATTTATTTAATTGATAGTTTATAAAATAATTAAATTAAATATTTTTAGATAATTGAATAAATACTATAGTATTATTTTAAACAAAAAGCATACTTATACAGCTATTTAGAACTTGCGAAGTTAGATTATAGATTATTTAACAGAAATGTTTTATCGGAAAAAATAGAGAAACTATTTTATTATATTTTTGATTTGTTAAAAGATAATATATATTATTATTTCTATAATATATATTATTTTTTAATTTTTTATTTATGTATAATACTCTTAAATTCTAGTTTACAAAAAAACTTAAATTATTTCCTATGTATATATACTTCTGTTATATGAATGACAGGCAGAAAATTAATTTGTTGTTGCTAAATGTATAAGGATGCACTTAAATTTAATATATATTTTTCGATTGATGCGACATAATAATGAATTTTTTTATACAACATTGGATATGGATTTTATGAAATTTCTTAATTGATAATTAGACAAAAAAGTTTTTTTAATATTGAGTTCTTTGAATTAACAGAGTACATTATTTTCATAATCGATCAAATATCGCTGCCGTGTTATTTTTATACTTTTTTTTTTTTTTTTTGACATTCGACGTCATTGACCGTTTGCCGCGAAATCGTCGCCAATTATATTACTATACATAGCAAAACGCATGACTCTTGTAATTTATTTTCATGTCCCGAGGACATGTGGCAGTAATATTATCTAATATATATGATGTCTGAAGATACAATTAAATTTTAACTTAACACTCCTTCGCGGACATCTTCATATCTGTTTAGAACAATTTATGATACATAGAATGGCCTGTGATGTCGTTAGTGATGAGACGACCCTGAAAAACAATTAACCGCTTCACATCACAATTACATATTATAATAATGTTTTAATATTATAACGTATTGGTTTTCCTGTGATGTTAAAATATATATGTTTTTACATTTATGTATTTCAATGTGATACGAAAAAAACTGTGTCGACTTATAAAAGAATGTTATTATGTAATGTGTTGACGTGTCGTGTATTCATTGTAATCTAATTCGTACAAAAAACCTTGAAAAAAATGTGGCGGAGTTGGCAGTTAGGATAAATCTTTAAATTCGTTCTATAAAATCCAATGCGCTGATATATTATTATATAGGCTCCTGTGACATAAATTTGATAAAGGAAATTGAAGTCTTCAGTTAATAGGATCTTAATGAGTTTTAGAGTTTTCGCACGCTAGTGACTGAGTCACGGTATACCGTCTACTCTTAAGCTTTGGCTTAAGCTAATTTTATTAATTCAAATATGATTTAAAAAAAGTATGTTACTTGAATTAATAAGAAACCTTTGAACCGTCGATTAAACTATATTTGTTTTATTATAATATATATAACAAACCAAAAAAAATGTATCTAGTTAACTCTTAAATATTTTTGTTATAAAACTTGTATCAATCCTTTGCCATAGTTGTATTAATAAATTGATCGATTTTTATTGGACCAATTAAAAGCTACGTTGAAGTAGTTATTATGACCGGGCTAGTCTTTAACTGACATCTTACACTTCAGAAATCTAAACCGAAATTAATTAATTATTGTATTATTGACGATATTTTATTGCCCCTTCAGTCAATCATGTTCTTCAAAGCGTAAAAAAGTAAAGCAAGTCTAACTAAGACGTTATCTAATTGTTTTTTATGCCATTAAGAAATTGTTCAATAGGTATTGTTCAATTGCTGCTACTATATCCACTAGTACCACCTAATATTGTTTAGTAGTTTTATTTAGAATACATCAATACTTTGCCACTATTTTATCTTAATTTTCCAATTTTTATTTGTACAATAAATTAATTCTCTTAGCACTAGCAATTCTATCTTCGTAACGAATATTTATATTCGCGTTTAAAGTTTTCTTTTCTTATTAGCTATTTAAACACCACATGGCTACAAAGTTCGCCAACTAACTAATATTTTCTGCCAATAGGTTCTCTTTACAATTATTACTTTCGTTTTGCAAGCCAAATATGATGTATATTATAAAAAATGTTTATCGTGGGGTGTTGTTGCTCGTGTGTGTATAAACATTTATTGGAATTTATGTTCTCATTCGCGACGCTTATTATCTTTTAAACTAACTTAATTTTGTATTTTTTACAGAAACTATGACAAACATTGTTATCACACTAGCAGACGCCAATCTCTAAAAAGCAATTAAACGGAGACGAGCACATAGTAAATTATGTCTTGTGTGCGAGAGTCCTCGCCACAACCTGAGCTCCCCACCAGCCAAAGACCAGGTAAATATTTTTAATTATTATTTTATATTTGTTGGAATCTAAGGTCTAAATTGTTCTAGTGTTGATATGTGTTTTATCTTACTATTTATAAGACTTTTCGTGCATAAGTTTTAGAAGTTTCATTTTAAACGTGTTGTCATTTTTCATAAGTTTTTGTGTTTAATCTCCTCGTGTTGTTTTTCAACTACATTTATATATTGAAGAAAGGGTTAAAAATAGGATTTCAATGTTGTAGGGTGTGGTTAGACATCTATTTAAAAAATATTCATGTCCCGTTATATTCAGTTAAAAATAATTTAGCTCCTTTTCTTTATTATCAGTTAATCAAAATCTGTATACATAGTTTCCTGAATCGATATTTATTATATACAGAGTGTTCAAAAAGTAAGGAGACATGTTAATTGTTAAAAACAATGAGAATAATAGAAATCCTTTATATCTAAACACTTATAATGATCAAAATAAATAATATAGTTCATTGAATAATACTGAATTTCTTTTAAAGAAATTATAATTTAAAGAGGGATAAAAATATTCTACTATTTTTTCTGCTATATTTTAAAGACATATATGTTATTTTTTTAGAACTTCCAAAAAGAAAACGTTTTCATCCACTGAAAGGTTTGCGGCGGATATTTCGTCGAAAAGTTCCTGTTGTCAATGCTGGAGATGCGCTTAATTCGGGCGATGATATTATTGCTGAGCAGCAATCTAACAACAACTTGGAATCTTCCAGGAGTCGTTCCACTAGTCAACTGATTGATGAGCCGTTCAACAAAAGACGGTATGCGTATTCGCAGAAAAAATTATTATATAAGTTTCATACTGAAAAAAAAATTATCGTCATCCTTATGTCAATATAAAGAATTTTTTTAAATCTATTTCAGAAGTTTACATTCGACGTTGTTAAGTGTTAGTCATGATAGTGTATTCAATCCTGAACAACATTCCGGTCAGTCCGACTCTGAGTCGGCAGTATCGGTACCACGATTAGGGTTTCCACCGCAAGCCAACATAATGCAGGTAATTAAAGATTAATCAGCTAAAATAATTTTCATTTATAGTTGATAGAAGGACAAAAAAAAATTTCTTTGCGATCAATTAAAAGGTTATTCCCTTTCAATAATTGCTCGTAAATTACTACTCCCTCGTTGTTGTGTTGTTTTTAAAAGAACGGATAAGCGACTATTGTTTTAAAATATCTTTTTGTGTACAACCATTCGTTTTGTTAATAATAGAATACAATCGAGGCAATATAATACTTCAGTAATTTGCCAAACATGTTTTACTTATAAATCACATGTGACACTTTTACCTTACTTACATCACCATCTTGTATTATTAACCAGTTAAAGTTAAACTTTGTTAGACAGTGAAATCAGTAGTGTTTTATCACTTGCTAGTCTATCAACACAATATTATATGTATATTATTTTTGTCTCAAAAAATGTTTCGAGTGAGTAACTAAAAATATAATTTGATCAAATTAGCGCAAGTAGTAATGTAACGAAATACTCAATATTATTTCATCGCCACAGCTGTGAAAGTAAATTTGATTGTTTATACTCCTTTAATAATTTTATTCCCATTTTCTCTTAATTTCTACTAGTAAATGATTAAGGACTATGTGCGCTAGTGCATTAACAATTGTTATATTACAACGTTAAAGCGGCACGTCAAATGTGTACTTGTGCAGTGTGCACATCAAAGATTGACTTGAGAATTTTCGAAAACTGACGCGCTAGCAACTCGGTTGACCGTGACCTTTAATCACTCTGCCGGCAGAGCTGCGCAATATCTTTACGTCGGCCGTAACGCCCTGATGATTTATCCTATATAATGTATATGTAGGACGCTTTTTTTAAGTACGAATTGTTATTTATATTAAATTTAGGTAGATAACACTCTAGGATAAATGCAGTCTTCTACATTTTCCTTTAATATTTATCTAAAAATGAATTTTCTTGAACTTATTATTATTTTAAGGCTGAATTACTAGAAGCAGTAAGAAGGCGGCGAAAACTCCAAGATGACGATGACAGTGACGATGTGGACGAAGAAGACCTGGGACTCCCGCGAAGTCCATCAATGCATTCACCTACTATAGCCACTGGCAATGATCTCCTATTGAGCAAAGTATATATTAGATTTATAGCGATAATATATGTGGTTTTTTAAAACTAAATTTAATGAGTTTTTTGTTTTTAATCCATTGTTGTTAGGAGTTGATAAATAAATCTTCGCATAGCACCTGCAGTGATGGATCTCTTCTTAGCATGGGAAGTTCTGAAATGGACGAAGTGAGATTATTAATTTATTTATAGTACTTATAAATTTAATTTTTGCTTACAATAATTGATTGATTGATTACTTAAAGTATTAGATATTGTGTTGTTAAGTTTCAATTTTTATTAAAAAAATTTAGTTTATTGTATTATTTTATAACTTTTAAATCCTTATGACTTATAGAAACTTATACTTCATAGAGTTATGAAAATGGTGCAAAAAACTTACACTTAATGCATTAAAAAAATTTAAATGACTTTAAAATTAAACTGAAAAAAAAATATTAATTTATATATAATCAATTATTTAAAAATATTTACCCTTAAAACATCTAAATGAAATTTTATATCTATATAAAAAGAAATCAACAAATATTTAACTTTTTTTTTTTTTTTAATAAAGTAATACACCAACAAAATTTCAAACAAAATCAGTAGTACAGTACCAATACTCGACTATTACTCTGATCAAATTTTCAAATTACTGTTAGGAGATTAAAGAATAATTGTCTAATTTTATTTTTCTACAGAGAACTCAACAAAAATTATTTGCCTTAAAAAAATTTAATTTATAAAGAGCTAATTTTAATTTATCAATATATAATTAAGGAAATACATAATTCACATAAAATAAATAGTGAATAATTTGAAGATGTACGTTAAACATTTCATGTATGTATTTAATTGCTAAAAAAATTGACAAAAATTTTGTTAAAATAATTAAAAACATAAAAATACTTTTAATTTTTTTTTTTAATAAATTTTTTACTAATACATGATTTGAAGTTCCAATAAAGCTTTTTTTGATTCAATAACACTTTATTTACACTATATAGTGTGTTATATTTTTCTAAAAATTTTATTAAAAATTATTAAAAATAATAAAATATTATTAAAAAATTTTTTTTTTCATTTTTCCTCTTGTGTATCAGTTTTTTGGCTATAATATAATTAAATTAGTCATTTAAAAAACCGAAAAAGTTACAAAAATTTAATTTGAACTAGGTAAAAGTACTTAAACAATTGAAAATCTCGACTAATCTTTCTTATATATACTGGGTGATTTTTTTATCATAACCCACTCAATTACTTATAGAATAATAATAATTTAAAAATTTTTTTTTTATTACTATATTTAGTTACACATTATTCTTGAATTATTAACTGTGTAATACTTTTTAAGTTCATCCCTTTTGCCTGGTAAGGGTGTCAACTTTGTTTTTTTAAATGGTAACACATATATTTAATTTAATAAAATGTTTGAGTTTTTAATTCAATAATAAATGGCATTTGAATTTTTAATGAAACTTAATTTGTTTATTAGATATAAACATTTAAAGTTTCAAATTTTTGAGTTAATATATAGGTATAATACACAAGGGATTACAAATACAGGTAGCTAATTGGTTTTTTATGATATTGCTATCACAGTCACGGATTGTTTATTATCAATTATGACTATCAATAGATATACTTTTTGTATTTTCAGTTAGTGTATTTATAAACTCACAACAATGTACCTTACTATCATTGATAATAACAATGCTGTGTACCTGCTAATATTGATGTCATAAAAAATCAATGTGCTAAAATTACTGTGCTATTTTTTTTTATTTTGTGTATTTATCTTTTCTTTTTCATATTTATGTTATATTTTATACATTCATTATTTTTACAGGATTCATTTGGTGGTCACATTTCTCGTAATTCATCAAAAGTATCTTTACATGATAAGCGTTTATCACAAATTCATCTGGATAGTTCAGGTAAAAAATTATTTTTGAGATGTACACCAAATTCATATGTTGTAACAATTAGCCTAAAATATAATAATATATTTATTATATTATAATAATATAACAGTTATATTATTACAATAGTTACTATTGTCTTCCAATTTTTGTACAGAAATTATGCCTCCTTACCTAGTTAAACAATTTAAATTATGAATATTTATAATTTAAATAAGTAAATTATGGTAACTCATAAGAGAGAAAGAAATATATAAGAAGGAGAGAGAGTTATTATTTGTTTTTTATTAGTAATATCTCTCGGGGTATGAGTATGAGGGTACATGAAAATAATGAGAGTAATGGAAAAACATAGTGATCTTTATTAATTAATACGAAAAATATTGTAATCAATTGTTATATTATTTAGTATCAATAATGTCATGAGTATTGACTGTTATCAATGATAAGTGGGATAGAATCACCTTAGGTATCTACCCAGAATAGTATGGTGTCTATATATGAACCTCCAACTTGACTCCTAGCATAGACACATATCAAATATTTAATTCTACCAATTAGCTCCGTACAAACATTACTGATTGATTTACTTCAATTACTATTTTATTTTTAATAATCACTTAATCATTCTTTGCCCCTACTTAAATTATGTACTCAAAAGCAATGATTAATTTTAAACCTTATCATTTTAATTAATATTAGTATCTACCTTTATATTTTCAGTGAGTGTTTAGAAATTGTCTTATTAGTTGAATTAAACTTTATTGTGACTGTTTACTTCTTGCATATATATTAATTAGAAAAGCAAAATTAATGAGTTGCGAGAGTATACTGCCAGTTATTTAAGCCTTATTTGTTTCCATTTATATTTGTATTTTGTTAATTTTTATAGTTAAATACATATGCAAGAGGTATCAGAAACGCTAATATTATCTCTTTATTAAATAAAATTGTGTTATTTATTACATGTTATTTTATAAAATTAATATGCAATTCTAGACAATGATTCATTATTGCATTACAATATTGAGATAACCGTGACAAATTAAACTATTGTTTATGTGAATTTTATCGTTTATATGAATTTTTAGATATATAATATAGTTTATTGCTTAATAGATAAGAATCATAATGAGAGGTTAATGTATCATAACAAAATATATATTTTAATTTAGATGGAGATTCTTCAACAAGTGTTCCTCTGAGTCATAGTGCAGCCAAACATCGAATGGCAATTAGACCGAAAAGAAAACATGGTAATCCTCGAACTAAAAAACCAGTATGTATACATACTAAATTAATATTATAATATATTATGTATATTAATTTAGTATTTAATTGTTTTTAACAGTTAACTGTAGTTACTGCACTTCCAGCTACACCTGAAGTTGAAGAGCACTCTGGACGATCAGCATCTCCTGAAACTAAACCTCAGACAGATATAGCAGGTATATACAATTATGGTCACAATTATTCGGCTTATTATCCTGCTAAATTCAATGCCAAACAAACATTAAAAAATTTGCCCAAAACAAAGTATAAAAAACCCAAACAACGTTGTTGTTTATTTCGAATGAGCTGTTTTGGCAGACATAGATCTGGTGCTTATCGTGTGAGAAATGATACTCTACCATATTTCATACGTAGTTCTTCTATTCAACCAATTGGGTTTAACAAGATAACACCTCAGTTAACACATAAACAAATTGATGTCACTAAAGGTAGAATTAGAGTAAACTTATATGCTTATCCAAAAGGTTATCTGAAATTTTTAGAAAGCTACTTTATGGTTAGTAGCTATGAATCAATGAGAAATAGATTACCTGTTATTAATGAAGAGAACATATGTCCTTTGTGTGGATCTATTGACTATACAAAAAAAAATACCAAATGGAAAAATGCTATACTAAGGCCATTCTAATTAACACTCTTTATACATATCAAATTTATTTCTAATTACTTTTTTCATAATTAAATTTTAAGTATATTAAGTTTTGCACTAAATATGCACGTGTGTATTTTATTTACAGATGGCACTATTTGCACTATACATGATCTCGACACTTGTGTTGATGAAATATCTGTCGAAAATGTTCCAAAACGGGAAGAAGGCTTTTTTCACCGCTTATTGTCGCGCCGTAGCACCAAGAAAAAGACTAAATCTGAAGATGATGTGGACAAATTTCTATTTGATGAAGCAGTTACTATTAAACCTAGACAGCGAAATGAACCTCCACCTGCAAGTCGCATGCAAATTTCATATCCTCCTGATCTTCCTCTTGACCGTCCAACCACACCACCTCTGCACATGCCTTTGGCTGAGGATATCCTAGAGCCTGACACATTCACGCCTATTAAGAAATCATTTAGCCTTCGACAAACTGATGATGAGCTCTCTAGTGACTCTGTTCAAAAATCTTCTTCCTCTGATAGTGTATCTAGTGTATTGGATGACCATTCTGAACGTTGTCGTAGTTACAGTTCTAGTGATTCAGAACCTCGTATATTACCTGTACCAGCACCTCGCCTTTCTAAATTGGGATCAGAAGTACTTAGAAGAAAAAAACGTGAAGATGAACCTGAGTTGCTTAAAGTGTTTGCTAGAAGATCACTAAAATTAGGTAAAGATGGAGAACCAGAGTTGTTAAGTAGTGATAAAGAAAATGAATGTATAAGTTTAAATGAGGAAACTGAAAATGAAAGTACTATTAAAAGTAAAGAGCCTAAAATTGATGTTAATGAAAATCAAACTGAAATACCTCGTTTTAAACGAATTCAACAGCGTAGAGAGGAATGGGAGAAGAGACTGCAAAACAATTGATCAACTCATTTTAATTTCTTTTAAATTTAACTAATATATATGAATTATTTAACAAGCAAAAAGTTTATTCACATCTATGTTATATTGCTGCTTTTAGTAGAATGGTGCTAGATGATGGTTATAAATATTTACCTGAGTGGCCTTAAATGAAATTGAGTGTGACTATAGGTGCAATACTATTGCGATTGTTATATTTTTTAAAAAGATATATAGATATATACTTTTATTAGATTACTACCAGGAAATATTAACCGAAATTTACCATTTTTTCTATCTTGATATTATTTTTATATAAAGATATATAATGTATTAATTTTAAAATGAATGTATCATTTATTATGATTATTTGAAAAATGATTTTTCATAAAATTACAATGTTTTTAAAGTTTATTATAATGTTATATGTGTGAAAAGTATTGTATGTCATGTATTGAAAACAATAATCGTAAATATAACAATTGTTCATCTGTGATTCCATTTCAACTAAGTTTAATAAAATTGTTAAATTTTATCTAATATTTTTCTAAGTTCCTTTTTCTATTATATGTGACCTTACAAATTTTTATTTTTGACAGTATGAAATAAAAATACCATATATATGTTTTTAACACATAAATTGTAATAATTGAGCACAACATAAAAATTATATTAGAAATGTAATCAAGTAATAAATTTATGGTTGTGTATTAATATATATTTTATATTATTTGTCTATCTAATTCCCCATCAATAATTATTGCCATCATCAATATTAATTGTTTGTGAGTGTTATTCATACCTAAAAATGTGAAGACTTTTTACCTTTAATGGCAATATATTCACCATTGTTGTTGATAAAATAATTTTGTTATTTTACCTGTAATATTACTTTTCAACTTTCATGTGATAAGTTGGTTTAATAGTGATATTTAAATAAACTAGTTGTTACGTTTTTAAACAATTTATCAAAAATAATGAATTATAATGTCGTATCCAATTGTATTCTGTAGACCCTAATCCTACACTGTTGTTGTCACCCATTTTCTAGTGTATATTACTTTTCATAATTATTATTTTAATGTATAATTTAAATAAGCGTTTATTTATTTTGTTTTGATGATGACAACAAAGATTTATGTTTTAAAAATCTATATTTTTGTAATATTCAATTTTAAAAAGAATAAAAAAAATTACCAACAATTACAAATTCCACACTATATTCATTTTATGTTAGAAAACTTAATATATAATAATATCTACTTTAAATAATATGTAAAAAAACATAATATTTGTAATTATAATAAATACATTTGTAAATACTATTTTAACTAAAATACTTTTATGGTAGTTCAATTGATAATAGTTTCAGTGCGATGTGGTGGTATTTCTTCATTGACTATTGACTCTATTGATTCTACTCGTTCAGACAAATTTACTTGAGTATTCATAGGTTGTTGATTTCGTTTTCTTTTTAAAAATAAAAAGTGTTTAAATATTCATTTTAATAACTAGTTATAATGGTATAATTTACTTGTCGATTTGTATTTTCTTTGTTCTTATGAAAACTCTATAGCCAACGCACACCAAACAAAGAAATATTGGTCCCAAAAATAATAACATTATTGGGGCTACTATAACTAATGCTCTAGATGAATACTCTTGATTACCTATATGTTAAAAACAGTAAAAGTATCTTCATTGCGTTATTAAGATGTCCAATTAATAGCTATTAGTTCTTATAGTTTTTTAGTATAGTAATTTTTTACTGTTATATACATTTGTATATTTATTTTGTAGTACTAAAGTTTTCAACTAACTTAAATTGAAGGATAAAGGTGTTAACAAACATTTTTGAAATTTTGCAGGAATACTACTTTTGTAACTAAATATTAATGAAAAATTAATTTAAATACATATTTATCAATTTATTATTTCGGTAAACACAATTCGAAATGCATTTTGGAAAAGTTTCAGTTAACACCTTTATTTACTGACCCCTTCAATTTTATTAATTATAAATGTTGTTCTATAGGAGATAAGTATTTTTACTTTTTAATTTTTTTACCATTTCATTTGTATTAAAAAATAATAAGTTTTTCGTTGACAACATTATTTAAGGATTTATTTTTAAAATGACTTGAACATAACATACATCATTTTTAAGGATCGTGTTCTCTTTAACTATTGTTTTTAAGTAAAAATTAATAAAAAAAAAAAGAAATTTCCAAAAAATCTTCCATAACTAATACATACTCTCCCCTTTAACTCGTACCGGTAATTTATTTATAAATAAAACAATTGAGAGTATTACTGTAATACACAAAACAATTTATGTATTGACATAAACGTTGAATTAACTTTTGAAATAAAGCTCAACACATAATTTAATTAAATATATTAAAATCGTGGAATATATTTACACTTTTTATAATAATAAATTATATACAATAAAGTGGACTTGGATAGATAACGTGCAAAACGTACTCAAATTATTAATATCTAAGGAATATAATGAAAAAATGAGCAAGTAAAAAGTTTATACATGTATAAGATCATTCAGTATTAGATGTATTTTTTAATATAATTTTAAAACATTTGAAATGCTTTAGATTTTTATTAGACGAATTGATCGCGCTGTAAGTTTTATTTACAAAATGTACCGCTGCTGATGATCGTTGTTTGGAAATATATAATTGTCCTACTTAAACATAAAACAAATGGATACAATTTTTCAATTAGATGTCTAAAATGAATCTTTGAGCTTGGACGGTATTATCTGTCGTTGCGAGGCAACCGATGGACCGCCGCTGTTGAGCGCATCCTTACGATCTGTCTTTGGTGATCCAGCCACATATATGGCCTTTCTTTTAGGGATCATTTTTAGTTGTCCTTCATATTCGTCGTCCAGGTCCCAGACTTTAGGTTCAAAACGAACGTCTGGTCTATTAGGCAGTGGCTCGTTGGTCTTATACACACCATCGTACGACCGATGCGGATTGTTGGAGCTGGCCACTGATTCCGGTTGTGTCGACGACCGGTCGGACGACGACACGGGTGACGAAGAAGTCTGTTGACGCTGCGATGATTGATGTACCGGTTGTTTGTCGGTGTCGTCGATTCTGGCGGATAGGTCCAAAGTACTCAAGGCCAGCACCGAGTTGCGACGCTTCATGGCGGCGGCTGATGTGAACCGGAACCCAGAACCTTGACGCCGCCGATGCACCTGTGATACCACGCAGCAAATGCCTACCAGCAGCGGTACGATTGTGGCCGAAATCAACGCAATGGTCAACCAAGCGCTTCGCGACTCGTATTCGAGATGACCTAAGATCGTTTATTTGATTACTGTGAGTAAAGTATGAATGGGAACAACTAACAGAAAATACAAAATGAGAAACTTTTCAGTGCTGCGGATTGGCAATCGCTCGTAAAAACATCAATAAAATTAAATGTAATCGTTTAAAAAATGTAAGCTATGATGTGTCAAAAAAATTAAAAACAATAAAATTATACTTCAACTTTTCATATGTTGAAAATGTATTGATTTATGTTTATATATTTTAAACTTAATTAATATCAGAACAATATAATTATTAAATTAATTATTAATACGAGACATTAAATGTAAAAATTATCTGCGAAATTTTCAGGCTTTGTGATTCAAAACGATCAATTACTGCGAGTAAATGTCCCACAACTTCAACTGGGGACATTGACCCATATAATCAATAAAATATCTTTTATAATTTTAATTGCTTTACCTACGAACAAGTTTTTCTTTTTAATTATATACATATAACTAACCAAAAATCAAGTTGTCTTTTAAACTTTTGACTGCTCTAGCCGCAGAGGCGGTCAAATGGGAGGGGATTATGGGGGTTAGATCTTACCTATTATGTCAATGGGGGAATGACTCCCTTTTTGATATTTTTTTACAATTTTCATTATATAGATTTTATATTTTGGAAACTTTATGTATGATAAATGACGTGGTTTTGCGCTGTGGTAATACTACTTGCTGACAAAACTCTAGTGTTAAGCCACGCCTACCACGGTAGGTGAACGGATGGGTGACCATACGTGCGCTTCTAGTGGTGAAAAAACACCATGTTCCCAGTACAGAAGGCTATGGGGGAAACCACTGAACTTGTAAATTTTCCAGAATATACCAATCCAATTGATATTAACCAACCTAACGATTGTAAAAATATACCTTAACATATGTTTATATGTTCAGGTATATTATTAAACATAATCATTATGAATCAATTATTAATACTATAAATTTAGGGAATTAAATGTTAAGTAATGGTTATTATTCTAAAATAAATTAAGTATTTAAAATAGGTTTGATAAGAAGAAATTAATATATGCACATCCAATAGTCCACAATAACGTCTTGATATAGTAACACAAATAAAAAATCTTTGTGATAGGGGGTCAGATTCCATGATGATTTTTATTATAAAGGTATTTCACCCCCATTCATGGCAATATCATTTGACTGTCATTGACTGGGTGGAGGCTTTGACCCAGAAAATACGCTTTTATATGGAACATTGACATAATGCATGTAAATTAAAAACTAAACTAACTATTTAGTTCAAGATTATTTGAGTATTGCCTTTAAGTAACTATAATGCCTATAAAATATTAAAAATTTAGTCAAGTTAAATTTTTATAATAAAAAATTAATTTTCATTTAAACATGCTTTGTTTTACAGATAATTATAGGCAATGCTACTACTTAGATCTTTATCTATTTTAATGTGATTCAAAATTGTGTTTTCCTACCTATATGTTCCTATATACACAGTAAGAATTATTTAAATAAAGATAAGAAAATCGGATATTAAATTATGTAAATAATTGTCATAACCTAAACGTGTGAAAAAAAAGTAAATCGAAAGTCAATAATGCAATTAACATACATTTTACTTTCACTTTATAAACAAATAATTTGTTAAAATTTTCCGAGAAATAGTAAAACAAATTTTTTACATCCCTAGAAATGTTTATCAAGTATAAAATCATGTTTTAAGTATTCTTTATCAACTTTTGAATATTTTGACAATTTATCATACTAGTTTTTTCCAAATATTTTCAAATTTTGAAAGAAAAGTTTTTCTAAATATTTTTATTATTAAAACAAATACATCAATATCATGCCAAGTTATTTTTAATTACCTGATGAATATCAATTTTGTGTGTTTTAGAGTTAAATAAAATTATTCAACGCAAGCACTGAAATATTTCCCAATTGAAATAAAAGCTACTCACGTAAGCATTCTGTGTATCCATACTCTGGTATATCCCATTTACCATCGGCTGAACAGGTTCTCCTTTGGTCGCCAATTAAAACAAAGTCTTGATTGCATTCAAACGTTACTTTAGTGTTAGGTACAAACAAAAAGTTGCTTTTTCGTCCGAATCTCGGAGTTTCCAAAACGCCACAAGATATCACTACACGATAAAACACATGTAAAATACTATAATGTTTCACAAAAAATTCTAGTTCACATACCTTTCTGTTTGCTCATTTTTTTTGTATTAACAAATCCATCTTGGTAAAGTAAAGTAAAAAATGCCATGTCTCTGTTTAAACTGACTGAATAGTCATATTTACATTGATACGAGTCTCCACACAACTCGTGAGCTTTTCTTATATCGTCTGGTCGATTAGGAGGAATTATGAGTTCCGGGGTTGATCCGAATACTGGCTCAAAGGTTCGATTAGCATAGTAACTGGCTGTTCGGCCATACTCCCGGAAGAACAAAGCTCCTCCTTTGTTTTTTTCATCTCTGTCTTCTAAAATCCCTGAGAATATAAAAAAATTATTATTATAAAATTAAATTTGAAAAATAAAATAAATTGTACTAAAATTCATACATTTTATGATAAATTTCGATTGACTTAAGAGGCTAAAAATCCCTGTGCTATAATCATTTTTATTACTTATGTTATGATTAAAAATGTTTACTATCATTTGTAACAAATTTGTATTAATTACATGAAGAGACGATTCTAGAAATAATGTTTAGTGGAGTATGGAATGAATTTTGTCAATTGTTGTTAATAAATTTGTCGACTAAATCACCTAGATGAGTAAAGCATTCCACAATATATTTTAAAAATACCGACCACTAATGATTTTAATGAACATTTAGAGAGGTATAACTCTGGCCATACTCTTTTATGAAAAAGACTCTTTATTACATTATTATATTTTAATTGTTGTTAGAATATAATAAAAAGAAATATTTGATATGCTATTTTATCTTTCAATTATGAAAACTTACAGTTTAACGCATATTGCTTGTGAGTAGCTTCGAAATCAACTGTATTGGGCATTACAGTCATGCCGTTTGGTAACATAAAATCATCGAATTGATCAAAGCTCCAGTTCCCAAACAACCCTCTAGTTTTATTCTATAAAGAAAACATTTGTATGGCATTCATTATTATATTCAAGATAATTTATTATAAAAATTAAAAATATCTTCATGTATACGCAAACAGTTTGGCAGTTTAATGCACTATAATCATATTTAATACTTAATTATATTATATTATATATTTTAAATACAGTTTAATATACTCACAATAAATTGCCAAGGCATGTATACTCGAGTGGTCATGTAACCTTTGTTTTCCAGAACTTCTAAACCGGCTCCCGATTGGAACATGATAACAATTTCTGACTGATTTAAAGTATAAGAAGGTGAGTATACCGTAACTCCTAAATAAGTACAGAAAAATTAAACGGTGTATTTAATTTTAAATATAAATAATATGCTTATTCAAGAATTTGTACATATTAGTTACAAGTTCTATATTATGTAAAATATTTTACCGTGAAAATGTTGGACTTTTAGTGCTGGCCTATCAAAATACACTCGTTTACCATCAGCAAATACATCCAACCTATATCTCCATTGAGCAGCCCTTGGTCGCAGTCTCACTTCGATTACAGTAGAAGTATTATCACGAGAAGCTATCGAGGTTAGTTGAGTTGCCATAACAGGTCCGTATATATTATCAGATAGTTGTTCAAATCTTCCTTGGACGTCAAATTTGAATTCATTGGAGTCTACATGCACCAACACAAATTCGCCTTTTCCATTGAATGTGTACTCTAAGTCGTCAAATGTAATCACATGTGGGTCTCCGAAGACCGTGGCTATAAAGGGTATGAAACTCGTTCTTGAAATTTTAAGGTAATTAAAGTAATTTTTTACTTACCGACATTAGGTGATTGATACGCTACACAGTCTTGAGATGGTCGACGTTCGAAACGATAAGTTTCACAACCGACGGCTTGTTCTTCCTGCCACAAACAACAAGGGAAAAATGGGCTCATATCATGAAACCACTGAGATAGTGTTGGTACCTTAAAACAAATCATCATTAAAATCATTTCTTTATCTATACTTATTTGTATAACTTTTTTAAAAATAGTTTACCTTATTGGCTTCTGACCAAGGTAAGAAACCCAAATTATGTGATCTTCTTGGACGAGAACCCCACATTTGATCGTAAGATAACATTAGATAATTGTTTTTATCATAACAACATTGTTGTTCAGAACCTTCCATACTCGGCGCTCCTGTTGTGACGCAGTGTACAGCTCCTTTGTTGTATAAACATTGTGGATTAGCATCTCTATCACAATCATAATCGGGCAAAAATCGACCTCGATCGACCAATGCGTGTTCCAATGTACATGGACATTGATGGATTTCGGCTGCGAAATTTTTTAAGTATCTATCATTTTTTATCCAATCATCACATAATTTTTCAGGCCAATTATCCCCATGCCAACGTTGCCATTGAGGACCAAAGTACCAACCCAAAGGTATAGGCTTACTCCATATGATTCTGGAAAAAAATTAGAAATATAAAATTAATTAAATGATAACGAGTCATTTCTCTGTATTAAAATATTTATCACTAGTATACACAATATTTTTTAATTATAAATTCAATTAAAAATTTTTTATTTACGGTGATATTGGTACGCCAGATTCCGTTAAAGGGTTCACAAGTTGTATTTGCAAGAATCCAAATGTTAAATCTAAATTTCTATTATTTTCACGAGTTTCGTATACTTTTGGATAGATGACATATTCACCGGAATTAGGAACAGCATCCTAACATGAAGAATAATGATTTTTTTTATTGGAATTTGTACAATATCTTAGTTTATCAATTTAACATTAAATATATTACCTCAATCAAATCAATAAATACTAGCTCCGGGGATATAGTTACTTCTCTATAACCGTAAAGAGAAATTTTAACATTTGTGGCGTAATTAGTGGTTAAATTTTGCTTCTCCCAAGTAATTTTTATCTCTTTAGGATTTTTTTCCCGTACTGATCCGTCCTGAAATCTTATGCGCTCAGTAGCTGTTGCTGGAGTCTCTAAAAATGTATAAACTCCTCTAACTAAATAAACGTTTTTAAAAGATAATAGTATTTAAGTAATGAATTTTATACCTACGAAATATTTTCCTTTCCAGTTATATTTTTCGTCTCCAATAGCCACGTCAAAAATTACATAACCTTCAGCCATTAAAAATGGCTGTATACAGATTGCTCTATTTCTGTTTATCACTGTACCAACTACTTCTTCGGTATCAAATCTAGAAAAATCGTAGGTACAATTATTATGTTGAAAACAATGAGTTAAAATAATAGTATTTAACTACTGTCTGAACAAAAGTATTACAACAATTTAATTCAGTAAAAGTATGAAACAACAAATATAACATAAAATACGGTATTCACGATACAACGTCCAAAACCACAATCACCACTAACCGTCACGCGAGAGTCCCAAAAAAACAATAAAAAAATATTAAAAAATAAAGCAGCCTGCATTTTGCAATACCACATCAGCACAAATGATAAATGTTATAATTAATATTAAAATAAATGACTACATTAAAATTTATAATACTAATAATATGTTTTGTACGCTGAACTTACTTGCATCTAACTTTATCTGTACGTTCAAAACATGGACCTGTAATGTTGACTACAGTTCCTCCTAACATGTTTCCACTCTCGGGTGCGAACACCAGTGGTAAATTAGTGCCCGCTAACAAATTTTTTAAAAAATTAACATAAATTGATATAGTATTTTACTAGAATGTATAAAGTTACCTATATCTTTGTTACAAGTTCCTAACATGATGTTTTCATCTATTCTAAATATGTGACGACCAGGAAAGTCATTAGCCCAACCTCGACCGACTAAATCTCTTATAGTTGATCTTTGCGAATATGGATAATACTCGAAACTCCTAGTTCCATTTCCTGCGTTGAATCCTACCTGAAATGTCGTTACTTTTACAACAATAACAAGTGTCCTAAAATAAAAGTTTTATTTAAATCACTAACGAAGGCTGGAACACCTCCTTCACCGCCGGTTGTATCTCCACCGGCTTCGGTATGACTGGTCCATTGCATATCTGCATAGTTGAAAATAGCGTAGGTAAACACTTCATCCGTGGCCAGCACCATTTGGAATGTATTGGTCTATAAAGATATAAAATATTTATGTTTTATTTATTGATAAAGATTAGTTAAGTATAATGACGCACTCTATACAAAGCATTGTCAATACCACCGGCAAAAGACATGTTTTTCCAAGTTATAATGACTGAATGTTTGGGTACAAAAGATTCAGCACCTATAACACCTTCACGGATATCCCACATTAACCTTTCCCTCATTTCTACACCAAATTGGTCAGTTCGAGATTGTAAATCTCTCTCCATTCTAAAGTAAACACCCGGTCGTCTTCTGTCTTCATCATCTGGTTTCAAGGAACCTATTCGGCACTTGCTGTAGAAAATACCAATGAATGATGGATCGTTTTTTTTCGGCCATTCTTTGATGGGAAATGATAAAGGATAACGGTAATGTGAAGGAGGATCACTAAATTCCAAGTATCCGTTCATTGATACTCGTGTATAATTGAAACGAAAACCGAAAAATGGCAGTTGAAAGTTGAAATTTTTATGAACCTGAGGTGAAGAACCATGTATGTCGGTTTGATAATCACCATTACCATTGTCACCACCTTTATCAAAGAACCAATAAAGGAATTCAGAGCGAATTTCTGCTAGTCTACCTTCTCCTATAATATATGGTAAAGCACCAGCTTGTAAACGTTGAGTAGGTGGAGCATATCTAGATGCAAATGTATCTATAAAATAATAGGATACAAATTTGATATGTAACATGTAAATAAATTATATATGAATCATTTAGTTAAGATTATATTGAATTACTTTATTTGTTTCTTAGTTTAATGAATGACAAATAAAACATTTTTATTAGTCATTTCAAGTGTTTTTCATAAATAATCATTTCCATTTTGAAAAAATTATATCCGGTAAAATGTAATCTAAAATTCCTTATTAATAAATATATGCTTTACTGAAATATTTTAACAATTATACAAATAGTTAAGTGATTTTAAACAAATTATAGAATTTTAAGTAAATTTTGTTTTTATGTTTAAATATTATATATAATTAATATGATATACGTTTTTTTAAAATAAGTATATTTCAATAATATTACAATATAAGTGAACTAAAATTTGGCGTAGATAAAAAACATATTTAAACGTGTTCAAAATTGTAAAAATTGACATTTAAAACAGTACAGATAGTTAAATGTTTCATTTCATTTATTATTGATTTATTGATTATTTAAAAAATAACTTCATGTATGTCTTTTGAAAAAAATATGTATTAGCATAGTATTTTAAATAAACTGTTCGATTCTAGACAAAAATGATGAAACGAATATTTGCTTTTATGGTATTTTTTTTACTTGTTAGTGTAAATAAACGATAGCATAAAACACTATGGTTGGGTTAATCAGTTGAAATATATTCAACACTATTGTTGTTAAATAATATGAACATTGAAAAGTTATGACATATCTTAAGACTCCACTGTGCCTATAAAGATAACTAAACGATGTAGGAAATTTGATGGCACACGTAATTCAACGTTAAATACTACTCAAATGCGTAATAAAATAATAATATGACTCTAATATTTGCAGAGTATTAAGTCTCTGGAAACTGTTATATAACTTACCAATTATTTAGTATTATTATTTTAGTGGTAATTTATAAAATAAATATATTTTAATGAACAATTTGTTTTGTTTAGATAAAAGTAATAATAATGAATCAATTATAAAGAAAATAATAATGTTTGTTGTTACTTAAGTTTATTGTCGTTTCTAAAAACAGTTACTTACATAGTCGGGCGGGAGCACAGGGGCTATGTTTCTTTAAATAAAGATAAATATCTCTTTGATGATAAATAAACAAATAAATTTCAAAATACGGATTTTTGAACATTTTTTTGACACGTTCTCCTTTTATTAAAAATTATAAATATGACACCAATACAATATAATTAAAAGTTCTTTAAAAAATATATTGTATTAAGCATTTCTTTTTATGTATTTTTTTCTACTAGGCGTATAGAAAATAAAAAACTTATTCTTGTGTACAAATTTTCTTTTATAAATAATATTTTTTATTCAAAAACATTTTGAACTTTCTTTTTACTCTAATGGTTTTTAAAAAACTTACCATAGCTTTCACGTCCTTGATTCATGCTACTGTACGTTCTAGATGCTTGTTGCTGTCGTTGTTGCTGGAGCAGTTGCTGCTGCTGCTGTTGCTGTTGACGCTGTTGTTGCAACAGTTGCTGCTGCCTTTGTTGTTGAAGTTGTTGTTGCTGTCTCTGTTGTTGTAGTTGCTGCTGCATTTGTTGTTGTTGCTGTAGCTGCTGTTGCATTTGTTGTTGTGAATATCTAGTATTGTCTTGAGACGCAGTCCCACTTGTGAGTATTGGTGAATCAACATTGCTACTGTATTGTTGAGGTAAAAAAGACTGAGCAGCATTTTGAGGATTATAATAGACATTTTGTTGCGTGTCAGTTTGTCGCGAAAAGCACAAGCAAACCGTCACGCACACGATAATCGCGCGATCGCTTAAAAAACGAGGACCTGACATGATTGCAAAGCCAAAGAGTTGTGCTAATTAAGAGCATAGACGAACTGTGGGCAGCGAGTACAAAAAGCATAGTCAGATAAGACATTGAGAAAACAAATATGGGTGTATGTGCCACTTATATTTTATCTAATCGGTCACATAATATATTTGTTGGTTTGAGTTTCTCATAGGTGTAATAAGTATAAAAATATTTAATCATCATTGCAATGCCTAAAGATAATTTGTTTTTAAATAATTATATAAAGTAAAAAAATGTATAACAATACTCATGGAGTATTGTCATTCTTGAAAACTTACAGAAATTTCAAACTCAAACACCTTCTTTTATTGTTTGTTAAAACTGCAGAATAATTGTTTTAAGTTAAAAATTAAACATTTCGTTCTATGTCCATTTATAATAGAGAAACAGTATTATAATTTTGGATAAATATTGCAGATTATAGAGTATTACAGTATTATAGAATTATTATTGTAACACAATTAAGTAGAGTTTAAGAAAATTTACTGTCTTCTAGCGTTTTTTAGGTTATGAAATTTAATTTTAGAAGTCTATATCAATCTAATTATAAAAATATTTTGTTGATAAGAATACTACCATTGTAAAATCGAAAAGTAATGTAACTTTAAAAGCAATCTGTAAACATTTATATGTTCTAATTTATAATAAATATAGTTAAAAAAACTAAAAAAACACGCTTTTAAAGCACATCGAACTAAAAAGTTAAAAATAATTTTTAAAATAATTATGAACAAAAAATACTAGTTTTATTGTGATAAAAGCGT